TGGATAGAAGAATGGTGAAATCATTGATGCTTTATGAAAAGTTTATAGGGACAATGCCCCAAAGAAATAAGCAGTTTGCAAATGGATAACTTGTTTTAAGAGGTGATGAGACAATGTTGTAAATGAAGCCCACAGTAGCAGCTCTCACCCACATCAAGAAAGGAAAAAATTGGGCTGGGCGTGGTGGCTCACACCTTCACCAGAGAGCGGCCTTCTCCATCACAACAATGATCCGGCTCATTCCTCTCATCAAACAAGGGCAATTTTGTGAGCATTTCAACAGGAAATCATTAGGCATCCACCTTACAGCCCTGATTTGGCTCCTTCTGACTCTTTTGTTTTCTAATCTTAAAAAATCTGTAAAGGGCACCCATCATTTGTCTTCAGTTAATAACGTAAAAAAGACTACATTGCTATGGTGAAATTCCCAGGACCCTCAGAGTCCTTTAGGGACGGGCTAAATGGCTGGTATCACCACTTGCAAAAAGTGTCTTAACCTTGATGGAGCTTATGTTGAGAAATCAAGTTTATATTTCTTACTTTTATCTTTTAATTCAATTTTTTCCAAAAATTTTTTGAAGTCCCCTCATATATGAGCAGAACAATAATCCCAATTCACTCGTTTATTCCATTTATTCATGTCATTCATTTAACAAATAGGTATTTGCTAGGCATTGTCCTAAACACGGAGACACACTGAAAAGAAGTCTCTGCCCTCATGAAGCTTGCATTCAAATAGGAAAAAAAAAGTCATCATTTATGACTATCTACTTTGTGCCAGGTATAGTAGTAAAAATGTACATGTTATCCCATTAGTCCTCAAAACAACCCCTATTAGTTAGAATCTTTTATCCCTTTACCACATGAGAAAACTAAGGCAAACAGACATAGTTATTTATTGAAGGTCATCATCTTTATGATGAATTGACATTTTTTCATCATAAAATATCCTTTTTATCTTTAATGCTACTATTTGTCTAGAAGTCTATTTTATCTGATATTAACACAGCCACTCCAGCCTTCTTAAGCTTACTTTCTCTATATGCTTGGTACAAATAAGCAAGTTTAGATGTTACTGTCAAGTGACAGAGTAATCAAATTTGCAATGCCTGAAGAATACCTCAAATACCTTGGATTCAACATTCGAAGCTTCCATTCATACAGGCTCCTTAATTTTTGTGAAACAAATTAATCCACTGATTCTATAGGTTTAAATTACATTTCCCTCTTCAATTCACATTTCAGAGGTTTTTATTTGTTTAAGTGTCCTAAAAATACCTAGGAACGAAACAGTGAGCATAGCAGAAGTTCTAAACCAGGCTTACTGGTGTTCCCAACAATGGAAGATTTCAAGAATTTACTGAATTACAAACTTCCAAGGCAGCTATCGAAGGAAATCTAAAAGTTGGATGATATGCCTGACTAGGTAACTTGAAAGATGCCTTTTTAGTCTATGAACTTATGACTTCAGTATTAATAATACTTCATAATTTGTATTAAGCACATTCTTAGGCAGAAATACACAGCCTAGTGCTGTTCAGGGATTAGATTTACACAGGAAAATATCATTATTACCTATTAATTTGAAATTTATATTAAGTTTGACTGTAGTCAAAGTTTGGTTTTGCTCTACTTTCCAGGCAAATGAAAAATGAAGAGTGTAAAAAATATCTAAAGAAACTGTAGTTCAGTACTTCAGTACCCAATGTCTGTTGCTTTAGAAACCCATTTACCTTACAATGTGCACATAAATTATGTGTCCTGTTTTTATAGTCTCTTTTAAGAAGCTCCTTAAACATACAATCAGCATTTTTTTAGCTTATTTTCAGTTACCATACATATACAAAAGTTAGTAAATTTTTTTTTTAAACGCAATGCCAATTTATTTTTTAAAAGGGCTCTGTGTCAGCCTATGGTTTGCCTTTTCTTTGTATAAAAAATTATATAAACTTTGGCCGGACGCGGTGGCTCACGCCTGTAATCCTAGCATTCTGGGAGGCCGAGATGGGAGGATCGCTCAAGGTCAGGAGTTCGAGACCAGCCTGAGCAAGAGTGAGACCCCCATCTCTACTAAAAATGCAAAGAAATTAGCTAGAAAATTAAAATTCCAGGCAATCACTTAAGAATAGGGATATTT